CATTGTGCACCGGTTATGTTTGCCAAGTTGATCGTGTTGTCATGGGTTTCATGTTTTTTGAGTATTTGTCAATGTTCCTGTTTATAAAAACTGTCTTGGTATATCTCAGTCGATTGAGATTTGTTTCTGTCACTGATACTCGATAAAGTTTAAGTTGACTAAAAACTAGCCACATCCTATAGAAAATAGTTGTGGGATGTTGGCTGGCACTGTGTCTCGAAGAGGCCACGTTTGACGCACAACGTAGCTGGTCTCTTCCAACTTCCAAGAACAACGATCGATACATTTTCATGTTGCTTTCGTTGCCGTCATCGTCGGTCGCCTCCCCCGAAACGAACGTGTCCAGAGCTCGCTCATGCCGATCTAGGAGTAGAGCAGCTATCCAACGTGTAAACATGGCGTTGCTCGTCTCCGACAGCTAGCCGCGAGGGAGGGATTGTTGGTGACTTGCTGGTACCAAATGCAACTAGTCGATGGGTGGGAGTGAGTGAGTGGTCACTGTTCAAGCTAGGGAGCGATGACTGATAGGACCATATACGTTACTATTTGAATTTGATAGGATTGGAGTTGATGTACGTATGTTTCGTGCATTAGCAATTCTTCTTTTCTTTTTTTTTTCTACGAGAGATGCATGATTCACATGAAAGGTTTTATTAGAGCAATTCCAACGCACGGACGCATTTTCCGCGCAGACAAAAAATGTTGTCCAACGCACAGACCCATTTCTATTTTCTGTCCTCTCAAACCCATTTTCATCCTAAATTTTGGTAAGATTTGGGTCAAAGACAAATACAAAACGATTGTTTTCTGTGTGCTCTTCGTCCGTGTGTTCGCTACATGTCCCGCCTGGCCCAACTGACATCCATCCCACCTCTCTCATTTCTCTCTGTCGCACCCACCTGTGATCTGGCCGCCGTCGGCACGTCGGAGCGGTCGTGGCTGCAATAGCAGCTGCTGGGCATATGCCGCTAGGCAGCATCAGAAGCAACTAGGGTGTGCTCGTCGTCGGGGCCGCTAGGCTCATGGTCGCGATGGGGCGGCCAAGCCAGAGGCGGGCCGATTTTTTGTCCAAAAAGACCACTTACCGAGATAAATTAACAAAAAAGACTACATGTGAATCAAATTGACAAAAAAGACCCCCCAGCCGTGGCGGCAGGCGCGGCAGCCGATGTGTGACACCTGCCGCCACGCCTGAAAGCGGCAGCATCGGCCGCCACACTGGCAGGCGGCCTCTGGCGTGTAACAGGAATTGGCAGCCGCGACCATCCTGGGACGGAACGGTGTTGTAATTGTGGGCCATGCCGCCAACGATTGAGGCGGCCTCTGCCGCTGCTGTTTTGCAACGCGGAGATAGCTTCGCTGTGTTGACAGTTGTTTCTGTGCATTGATTGCAATGCCTTTCGTCTTTGTAGATGGCACTAATTGCTACGAAGACATGATGATTGAAGCACTATTTCATTACCGTCTAAATTTCATCCGTCTACATACTGATTGCAGTGTTTTGGATCATGTATATTTCCCGCCTAAAATTCACATATACTTGTATTATCAGTTTGTACCGGCGTAGACGGAGGCGGGACCGCTCCTTTCCCCCTACTCGCGGATCCCCCAGACGGTGCGGGACGGTTGGCCGCCGGAGGCGCTGGGCTACTACGGGGCTCAGCGGCGCGACAACAGGCACGCGCGGGCGTGGTGGCGTTGTCCGGCGGTGGTGCGGCCTCTCCCTCCAGCTCCAACGCGGCGACCTATTTCGTCGCACACGTCCGTTTGAGTTGACGTGGACAGAAAAGTCGGCTCAATGCGTCGACCGAAACGGACGCGCGTCCGCTTTTCATCTGCCTGCCAACCCATTCCCGGTCCATCTTTTGAGCCTCATTTGCGTCGGCGCGGACACGAGGCGGACGCGCGCCAACTACTCCACCTGGCAAGCCTCGCCTCCCCCCCGCAAGACCGCTGCCGCGCACAAGCCGAAGAAGAAGCTGACATCCGAGGAGCGCGCAAGGGAATCAACGGAGAGAAAGGGCCGGAGACACGCGACAGACGCAAGGGACGAAGCCATCGCGGCGGCCGCCATCGCCGCAGCCACGCAGCAGGAGGCCACCAAGCCCGCGTCGCGGCGGCAATGAGGAAGGCGATGATGTTTCTAGGGTTAAACCCTGGCCAGCACGACCTCGTCAACGCCGTCGTCGCCGCGGCCAGCACCGGCTCATCTGCTTTTCCTCGAATGGTGTTGCCCGAGTTGCCCCGCGCATCAGCGACGCATCCGATACCCGGCTTCCACGTCTACCCGCAAGGCTCCCGACTCTCCGGGGAATGCTCGCTCGAGGTGAGCGTGGTGGCGCCTTCCACGCCCGCGCCAGCACTCATCGACCTCAACGCCACACCGGTGGCTGGTGGCTCGTCATCCGAAGGGGGGAGGAAATGCCTGCGGCCATGCCAACCGACGTGAACTTCGGGCAACGACATGCCCGCTGGCATGAACTATGGCCGCGGGCCTTTTTGAAACTTTGCATGCGGACATGAAAATGGGTGCGGCCGTAGGGCGAACTGCCGACCCAAATCTTAAAGAGGGCAGACGCCGAGCGGGCGGCCGACACAAACGGACAAAAAACAAACTAAAGCGTCGTCCGTTTGGGTCGGTGTGCTGGAGTTGCTCTAATGGCGTAGAAATAACCGTGAACAGACGAAATTTTAGGCGGGAAATATAGATGGTCCAAAACACTGCAATCAGTGTGCAGATAGACGAAATTTTAGACGGGAATCAATTAGTGCTTTAGTCATCCTAGTCTTGTAGGAATTAGTGCCATCTAAAAAGACAAGAAATCATTGCAATTAGTGCAGCGGCAGAGGCCACCTCATATGTTGGCGGCATGGCCCACAATTCCAGCACCGTTCCGTCCCAGGATGGTCACGGCTGTCAATTCCTGTTACTCGCCAGTGGCCGCCTGCTAGTTTGGCGGCACCTCCAGGCGTGGCGGCAAGTGCCACGCGTCGGCTGTTGCGCCTGCCGCCATGGCCTGGGGGTCTTTTTTGCCAATTTGATCTATATGTAGTCTTTTTTGTCAATTCATCTCGTCAAATGGTCTTTTTTGACAAAAAATCGAGGCGGACCCCTCTCCCAAAACAAGCTTTCGCCATGTTTTATATATAAAGCAATAACACACCAGAGTACGCGGCCGAATGATATATAGTAATGGGGAACCCTTATACAACACTGATCCTCAAATAATCGGATCGCGCGATACGCACGTGACTATGCGACCGAAATAAAAAACATCCTACACCCTCTATGCTTCACAATAACGCCCCCAAGAGGGATCACGACGTGAAACGTGACAAAAAATTTCACCCGGAACCAAACACAAAGAGGAGCCTCGGAACGATGTCTTCAAGAAGAGAACGACGGATCCCTCCTGGCCCGCGCCAACCTTCTGCACCTCCACGCGCCTCGCGTTCTTCTGCACCTGAGCCAAGGCGGTGGTGACGCGAGCACACGCGCTGCGGAGCTAACCTTGCCGGCCTGGCGCCCCACGCGAGCTAGCTAGCTCCGTTGGATGGTGGGTGCTTGGCCTGTGCATGGCGCCCCATGCGAGCTAGCTAGCTCAGGTGGATGGTGGCTGAACCTCGCCTTGAACGTGCTCCACTCGCCGCTCCGCTGGCCGCGCTCGCCCCCACCAGGTGTTGGACGAAATGCCGGCGGACATGTCATAAAATGAAGCAGCACCGTCGGGTACAAAAACCATGTCCGACCGTGTCCGCTTGTCCACTGTCCGTTTTGCTGACCCAAACGAATAAAACGCCGACTAGCAAAATGTTAAGGCATGGCATAAAAAATATATTATTGTATTCGTATTTGAATGTAGTTTCGGGTGATACTATTTTCACTACGTATAGTTACATTTTATTAGTTAAAATCATTGTCAAAGTATGATCTAAAATACGAAGAGACTAATAAATCAGAATAGAGAAAGTGCAACTGTGGGATATGTGGTTCATTGTATGTTGATATGTTTCATGTCTCTTCTGCTTAATTAATCGATAAGGCGTAATCTTTTGTCTTCTTTTAGAAAAAAAACGTTGTGCTGTGCGTGCTTTGCAGGCACTGTGCCTCGAAGATGCCGCCGTTTGACGCACAGCGCTGCGGGTCCCTTGCAGCTTCCACGAACGACACGGCACGACCATCGGAAAGAACGGACGGCTAGGAGAGAGCGTGGTGCGTGTTCACCTATTGCTTTCGTCGTCGTCAACTGTAACGCCTCGGATTCGATGCGCCAGGTGTCCGCCAGATATTCGCCGTTGTTGCCTTGTCATTTGCTTGCGTGTTGCATTTTACCATGTCATCATCTGCATTTCATCCGCATGTTTTTCAAAACTTGCATCCGTTCGGGTTCTCCCGGTTCTCTCCGTTGTCCGTTCGGAGTCCGGACC